GCTTCTTAAAATAATTTTTTAATATAAAAAAATATTTTTTGTATTAAAAAACTGCTTTTACAAGTAGTAATAAATCAATCCCAACATATCATTTTATTTCTTATTATTTATATATCTAACACTTAAAATATTAATATTATATAGAACTAATATGAGTGCGTTAAATGAAATATTAAAAATTATAAGGTGGTATGAATGAAATATAAGAATATTATGTTTGATATTAAAAGTGTATATTAATGATAGATATATAATATTAATGTTTTTTATATTTTATATATTAGATATATAAATAACAAGAAATACACTGGTATTTATGTAATTTTTTTTTGGGAAATTTACATACATACCACTTTATAACATCCTATTTACATATCTAACACCTAAAACTTTAATATTACATGAATACCACTATATATTATTTTAATATCAAATATAACACTTATATTTTTTTCCTACCACTCATATATTTCATTTCTACCACTCATATTTGGTATGAAAATAAACTATTGATGGTATGTATGTAATATTAAAGTTTTAGGTGTTAAATATGTAAATAACATAGTATTAAATGGTATGTATGTAAATCTCCCTTTTTTTTTTTTATGTTCATTAGGACTGCAAGTGCCCGGGAACTGGAACAGGTGGTCGGCCGCTCCACAGTTGGTGCGAGGTCTAGAAAGCAAGAGATCCGTCGAGTTAAGGAGGAAGAGAACCATGGCGGCAACTTCCTCGTCTTATCCACCTCCGCCTCCCTATTACCGCCTCTACAAGGACTTCCTCGAAGATCCCACCTCCGCTCCCGAGCCGCCATCGCCTATCCGCGGTTCTTATCCCCTATATAGCTCCACCTACACTGTAACTAACTGAAAACATGACCTCGATCTGTAATTAGGGTTTCCAATACCTTTCTGCTTCATGATTTTCCAAAGCTTGATTGCATATTGTGACTATTCTTGTAGACCGATGTGGTGCTTCCCAGCTTGGAGGATCAGGGAGTTCGACAACTTTATCCCAAGGGCCCTAATATCGGTATGCGGTCCTTTACCCTCTTCTTCTCTCCTTCGTCCACGAGAAAGCTTGTTCTCTTTTCTCATCATATTTCTATCCGAATCTTTTAGTTGTTTTCGTCGGCCTTTCTTTTCCGAGTACAACCTCAGTGTATTTGGCTATAGTTTCTGGATTCCATATTTACATTGCACTAGTGGATGCTCAAGCAGTTTCTGGTGTCTATTTTATTATTGTTTTTTCTTGATGGTAAATCTGTATAACTCGGAAATAGTGTCCTTGAGAATTATATTGGGCATTCCTTCTCGGTTCGGATTGAATATCTTTTTCTCTCTTTGTTGTCTGGCTACAGGTAGGATTTAGTAAATGCAAGGATTAAAACATGAAATATTTTTGGCATGACAAGTGTTACATCTTGGTAAATTCTAATAAATTGTTTTCAGGATTTAAGATTTGTGAGGGCGAAATTCTTAAATTTGTTTAATCTAGGGATTGATGTGATTTTAGAAATCATGGGTTCAACCAATAACAGTATTGAAATGAGATTTATCGAAACTATAGGATTCTAAACAACCTCTTAGAGTCTGCCATATTATGTTCTTCAGTTTGAATGTACTTTGTTTGCTTATGATTCAAGTTGATTCATAGCTTGGCGAAGGATCTCCACCTATAAGGACTCCATTTACCAATTTACCCCGTGGATAGCATGCTGGTTATAATCAATTTCACTTGAAACAATTTATCTAATTCTGTGATTCATTCTTTTTGTTGCCTTATTTCCAATTGGAGGACAAACTTATCTTGTGTGGATGGACCAACCATTGCGGCGGCATACCCGTTGGTGGAAGTTGATATCGTTGTAATTGTAGTAGAAGTCTTCTTTGTGTATGAAGGGAAGGTAGGTATGGTTGCCAAGAGGTCCCACAAACCCTGTTGCAGATATCATATGACTGATAAGGATTTAACACATTTTATTACCAATCCTATGAGCAGATAGCCCAAAGGGGTGATTATGATGGCTAATGGCCACAATTGCATCAATTCTAAACCTCCCCATGAAGGGAGGCTTGTGTTATGATGAATTTTCCCTCTAGAATGTCTGTATGAGTTATTAAGCTTTAGCATCAAATTGGCCAAGTCAAATAGCAAGCCCAAGTGAGACCCAAAGTCAGGATCTAGGTGAAACCCAAAATCAAATTTAGTTTATGGAGCATACAAGGCTACAGGGAAGCTTCATGAAGGGCTATAATTTAAATGAAAAAAAGCTTGAATTTAAGTATCAAATCTCTTCTTAGATAGTAGTCATTTTCCATTACACGAAGCGGAGGGAGAAATTATTTTTGATTAAAAAATCAAGGGATTTATTTAATTAGTGATGGGCTTATTTAGATAAATGAATTATCCTATTTGATAACTTATCTCATGCTTATGTTAAAGATAATATCTCTAATATTATATTATTTTATGGTGCTTGTTTAGGATTTTTTGAAATTTCTAAATAATAACAAAATTTTAAGGTTTTTCTTTAAACTCAATTTTGAATGCTATATAGAATTCATGAAGCCTCTCCAATGCTTCTCTCCCCTCTCTCTCATTCCAACGCTATTTCCAAGAGGCCTCAGGCCTCCCTTTGCAAAGATTGATCCACCCTCTTCTTTCTTATCTTAGCTAACCATGCTATCCTTCGCTCTCTATAAGACCATCTTTCATTATTCTCTCTTTATTTGAGAAAAGGAAGAAGGAAAAGGCTTTAAGCAGTCAAAGGAGGCAAGAAAGACATTATTATAACAATGAGAAGAAGAAGAAGTAAGCCGAGCAAGTGGATGAATGAGGAAGAAGAACCAAGGAAGCGATTAAAGGTCTTTTAACATCTGGAGGTCTATAAGGAGGTTTAGTAAGTCTCTAAACCATCCTAGTTTATAATCCATTTAAGTGCATTATCACACTCTCTTATTTTCTCCTTACACCAAACCCTCATCATTAATCCCCTCATTGAGAAATTCCACTGAAATAAGGTTAACTTTATGGTTTCCTATTTTAAGGCCTATTTGCATCATTCTAGAAGAATCACTTATATTATTTTCCTTCTGCACTTGATCTTGTGACCAAGTTTACTCTATAACCATGATTAATCTTTATTGATGTTTCAAAGATCAAGGAACTTATAGCTTTGATACTTAAAGCATGAAAATCCCATCCCTTTTACAACTAGGGATGGTATCATGCCCATTCTCTTGAATTTGCAGTCAATTGTTGAGATTTCTTATCAAACCAAAGTTTGTGTTAGATTCATCCCAATTTATAATGGCATCATAGTTTAGATTTTTGCATTAAGTTGTGAATTTAAAAAAGACAAAAATAAAAGTGACTCCTTTGAGCATAATGAGGATATTGAACTTTCCCTTATGTTAGGAAAAATATTCATTATTGGCTAAGGATGTTTAGAATGTAAAATGAATAAACTGAAGGTACTTAGAAAATCAAATTCATGGAGTAGATGACTCTCCAAATTATACCAAATCTTCTAAACTAGAAGAATGTGCTTCTACCCATGTCCCATATGGAAAGAGGGCAGCGCCTACATATTAGGAGGAAGATTGTGCTTTGGAATTACTAGCTCATGATGAGGTAGGGGAAGGAAAATTCCTACTATCTTAGATGCCAACGTTCATTCAAAGTCAATGTGAAGTTGGAAATTTCCACATACAATGACATTTGATGAAGAAAAGTTGGCTACTTGGGTAGATCTTTTGTAAAGTTATTTCTCTATTTATGAGCATCCTTTAACATAATCTAAGTTTTTTTGTGAGTTGTAATCATATGCCATATTGTGGCTGAATGTAGAATCCAAGAACCATAAATTGTCAAAACTAACATGATCAAACCTTTCAAATCCAAAGAATGTTGCTTCTACTACTCATGACCTGTATAACAAGGGCATTATTTATAGACAAGGAGACAAATGGTGCTTCGGAAGTGCTAGATAATGATAAGGAAGGAGAAGAACAAGATCTCTACTACATTAAACACCAAACTCTATTCAAAGTCAATGTTAAGTTGGAAATTCCCACATCTGACAACATTGTCAACGTAGAGAAGGTGGATAATTGGGTGGATCTATTTTGATGTTATTTTTCTATTTACAAGTATGCTTTTGCACGATACATTTCTTTTACTTGATTGAATTTGTCATCATGTGCCTCAATGTGGTAGAATATAGAATTCTAGAACCATAATTTTAAAAGATTTAACATGATCAGTGTTGACTGTAACGGCTACCCACGACATAGTCACTGCAATCGTCGCCTCTCTTTCGATCTCTCACGTTACCGCCCCCGGTCCCACCTCACGACCAAAATCACCGACTAAAGCCCCAAACGGCACAACGATTCGCCCACCGACATACTTACGACATAAAAAATACTCCTCTCATTTGGTTAAGACGATTTTAATGGAAAAATTTGATGCAGAAACATAAGGAATATGTGCAAAAATATACTAAATAGTTCATTAGACTGACCATTGCCTTAGGATTGTCCTTGCAGGGGAAAAATGTCTTCATGAAATATATTTCATGGTTGCAGGGATTTATAACAACAACAACATCAAACCTTTATTGCACTACATGGGGTTGACTACATGAATCCTTTTTTCTCTATTATGTCATGTTAAGACTCAAATTCTCATTTAAATCTAATAAAAATGTCATTTTTAATATTTTTTTTTTAAATAAGTCTTTTTAGTTCTACATCTATCTTTCTTAATATAGGTCAAATATAATGGATTTACTCTCCTAACCGGGTCATAGGAAGGCTTACGTTTTATATGACCAAACCATCTAAAACAACTCTCTCTAATCTTATTTTCCGCTGAAGCTACTCCAACCTTCTCACATATATGCTCTCTTTAGATTATGTTTCTAAGAGTAAAGCCACTTATCCACCTGAGCATCCTCATCTCTGCTACGCTTAACTTAATTTTATGCTTCTCTTTTAATGGTCAACATTCTACGACATAAAGCATTGCTGGTCTCACCACCATCTTATAGAGTTTTCCCTTAAGTTTGAGGGGGGTACTTTTCTATCATATAATAGGCCTGATGTATTCCTCCACTTGAACCATCCAACTTGAATTCTACTAATAATATCCCCATCTATTTCATCATAACTCTGGACAATATACTTGATATAATCTTAAACATGTACTCTTATTATTGACTTGATCGCTCAAAGTCACAGCCACTCCACTAGTTCAATTACTACTAAATTACACTTTATGTATTCGGTTTTAGATCTACTTAAACAAAAATCTATAGACTCTAAGGTTGACCTTCATAATTCAAGTTTACTTTCAACTCCCTTTCTAGTCTTATCAACAAGAAGAATATCATCGGCAAAAACCATGCACCAAGGTACATACTCTTATAAATGTCTAGTAAGAACATCCATGCCTAAAGCAAAATGGTATGGGCTTAAAGCTGATCCTTGATATAATTCAACTGAAATAGGAAAATACTTGGTCAAACTGTCTTATGTTTGAACACAAGGAACAACTTTTGCATACATTTTCTTAATTATTTGAGTAAACAAGCATTATTAACTCTTTTTTTTTTTAAACTCTTTATAGCAATTCTTTTGGAACTTTATTATAAGCTTTCTCTTAATCAATAAATATCATATGTAGATCCTCCTTATTCTCTCTATACTTCTCTATAAATATATATCTTTCATAGTAGACCTACCCGTCATGAATCCAAATTGATTTTGAGAAACATTAGTATCACGTTGTAATCTATCCTCAATAACTCTCTCTCATAGTTTTAAAATATGACACAATAAATTAATTCTTCTATAATTCGCACACTCTTGTACATCACCTTTATTCTTAAAAAAAAAGAATCAACACACTCCACTCATTTGACAATTTTTTGGTCTTCAAAATAATATTGACAAATTTCGTAAGCCGAAAAATTCCTTCATCTCCTAAGCATTTGCTCACCTCTATTGGAATATCATTAGGTCCAATAGCTTTGTCACACTTTATTTTCTTTAAAGCATCTCTTACTTTGGTTTTACTAATACGCCGATAAAAATAAAAATCTCTATTTCCATTTAGAATGCTATAGTCACTAAAGTCAATCTTATTCTCATAATCATTGAAAAGATTATCAAAACATTTTATTCACGGTTGTTGAATATCCTCTTTTAATAAAAACATTTTTTTTATCTTCATCTTTAATGCACTTCACTTGAACTAAATCCTTCTCCTATCTCTTTGCTTGACTAACTTGTAAATACATATTTTGTCCTCCTTAGCATCTAATCTATTATATAAATTATTAAAATTCTCTATATCATATATTGCTTTCTTAGATTCTTTACAGGCCTCTTTTTATCTTTCTTAAAGTTTAAAATTTTTCTAAACTAATTTTTATAACAAAACTTCTTAATTTTGATATTTTCTTTCACATTTTGATTTCTACCACAAACTATTTTTTACTATTATGAGCTTTTCCTTTTGATACTCCATGCATATCCTTTGCAACAGGGTCAACCACAATAACAAAAGATGGAAGCTTCCACATTAGGCTAAGCCCTCATCAAAGAAGCTCGAAGAGGAAAAGTAGCAAAAGAAGTGACCTCATTGTTTTCAATGAAAGCTCAAGGGTCACATTAAAAGAATTCCTTGAAGCTGCACCCTGAAAGTGGTCAAAGCAAAAAAGCAAACCAAGAAAACCTCACTCCCACAAATTAGGATTGGTGAAATTTCCATCCATGAAGAAGGCTAGGTTCTTATCATTGATAGAATAAGAGAATAAAAAGGTGATCTAGAATCCAACATGGTGGCATATGGGTCTAGCCTTCTCAATGAATGAGATTACAATACAAGGTTTTGAATAGAGTTTGGGTACCACTACCACCAATCACCAATGGTTTATAGTCACAGTATGATGTGGTTTGCCCAAAAGAGTTTAAGGTGTGGTGTTGGATGAAACATAGAACCTAGCTTATGCAAGGGATCTACTTATAGAAACTTCAAGAGTGAATTACTTATCAATCATAAAAAGCCTTAGTGACCCTTTCATACTTGTATGCTTATTTCTTTCCACTAATCTATTTTGATTTCAATATATACTAGCAAATAAATTCATTGCTTAACTCAATATGATACAACCAGCAAACTATAGCCTCGTATCCTTACCTCGAAGGCTACAATTAGCGGCTATAATAGCAAAACTTCTATTTTTTCTATTATGGTAGCGTTTGCACGTTCAAATAAATAAGAGGTAGAGGTAGGTTAGAAATCCTTTTGCACATGGGAATATGAAGAAGTGGGCATGGATGGGGAGGATAGGCTTACATAAGTCGAAGGTAATATTTTCATTTCAATTTTATTGATGGAAATAACAACTACATAGAGTTTTTATAGAAAAAATTGTTAAGTGAGTTAATAAACTAGATAAGCTATCGAAATCAGCAAAACAAGCTATCTAATCATGCATGATATTCTATTTTATAAGGGAAAATTTTATTTAAATGCTTATCACAATTTATTTAAATGAATAAAGAAAACATTTAGAGAATTTTCTTAGAATTATTCCTCTTTGATACGAGTCGCTGGGAGAGATGGATATTTCATTTAGTGGATTGTGAAGCTTTCTTTTATTTCATGCTTTGGTTGTCATCACTCTTTTTTAGGAGATTTAGTTGTATTTTTGAAATTTTCTTTGTCCCTGTGTTGCTGGACGTAGGAGAGAGGCGGGCTTTCAAGTGGAATGGTTGGAGCTAGAGTTATATTTTTAATTGTGTAAGGGAATAGAAAGGAAGCTAATGGAGGATATTTGGGGTGAAGTGGACTTTGGGAAGGTAAGGTTTCAATAGTGCCTGAAAGGTGTAGAAAGGGTTGATGGGGCTTGGATTTTGCTTGAGTGTGTGGAGCTTTTGGGGTGGATGTGTGCGTCTTAAGATATGTTGTGGGCTTTTTATGATGAGTTCAGGATGTGATGAGTTGAAGGGAATATGAGCTTGGGTTTTTAAATAGGTTTTGAGCTGTTTAGAGGTGGTGGAAAAGCAAAGAGAGAGAGAGAGATTCTAGATGTTTTGAGAGAGCTTACAAAAGAATGGAATTCCTTTGCAAATGTTTATGAGATTGAGTGTGGGAACCACAGAATACAAGATAGGATGTAAATGAGGGAAAATAATAAATAAATAAGATAAATTACTATTATAGTGGTAGAAAAGTCCAACCTTACCAAGGGGAGGAGAGGAAAGCAACCAAGCCAACCTTAAGGAGTTAGCCACCCAGCCTTTCATATATATATATATATATATATATATATATATAGAATATATTTGATACATAAATAAAATAATCAAAAGGCAAACATTAAGGAGGTTTGACCAAGAAAATGTATATTATGACCAACTTCTTCAAGTGCATGCATCCATTTAGGGGTTGCCTAATTTGAAATATTTAGAATTCATTGCATTTTAAGGGGTTGTTTGGCAACATGATTTATGCAAGATTTGAGCGCCCCATATATCTCACGACATAATAAATCCTCTGTTTACCTCTTTTTGCCGTAAATCTTGGATTTACTAAATCCTATGGTTCAGCGAATTTACAAGATTTGGTCGAAGAAGCGCGCGAAAGGGATAAAGATGGT